ATATCACCAAAAAAAGCAAAAAAACCACAAATCAGACCACAAAAAAAAAGCACAAACAAAATCACAAATCATATCACAAAAAGCACCAAAAACACAAATCATACCACAAACAAAAAGCACAAAAAAAAGCACACATCATATCACAAAAAAAAGCACCAAAAAAACACAAGTCATACCACAAAAAAAAGCACAAAAAAAGCACAAATCATACCACAAAAAAAGCACCAAAAAAGCACAAATCATACCACAAAAAAAAACACAGAAAAAAGCACAAATCAGACCACAAAAGTCATAAAACCAATGCACATGGCCTTGTCTCGTGCCACCCACCTTTCATTTTATATTCAAAAAACCACAAATCATACCACAAAAAAAGCACAAATAATACCACAAAAAAAAAACCCAAAAAAAAAAACACAAAAAAAACCACAAAAAACACACACAAAAAACCACAAGTCATACCACAAAAAAACACAAATCAGACCACAAAAAAATAAACACAAAAAAATCCACTAAGTTGTGGTGGGTTTTGTACACTTTTTTTGTGTTTTTTTGTTTTTTTGTGTTTTTTTGTGTGTTTCATTTTCCTTTTAAAATAGCGGGCCTCCAGTTTTCTTTTGTTTTAAAGGGCAGCCCGCCCCCGGGCCTGGAACACCGGGGCGGCCCACAGTTCCGGCGGCCTGCCCGGCCTCTGCCTCCCCTTCTACCAGGCCTGCCAGAGCCCAGCTCTGCCCAGCTCATTTTGTCTGGCAGCAGAATCCCCAAGCCTTTTTGACTGGATCGATATTGTCGATCATTTCTTCACTGCTTGCGCTCAGATGAAAAAAGCATCGGGTTGACTTGAGGGTTTTGTAGCACATGATTAATGTAGCCAGCGTTAGAAAGGGCAAATGAAAGTCATCCTAATGCCAACTATGGCTAAATTGCTGTGTTTTTTTTGTGGTATGGTTTGTGGTCACTGTTACTGTGCCGGGGCCAAGCCCAAGGGCTAGGCGTCCAATGTTCAGCACGCAACTTTTCATGTTCCAACTTGCTCATGTTTTCTTCATACCTGAAAGCTTTGTGCACAAGATTTGAGGACACACCCTCAAACTCTAGTTGGTTTGTTGCTCAGCCCGCAGGCAAACAGCAGTGGGGAGAGGAGGACTGGGATCACAGTTCTGAGAAGACACACTCCATCGGTTATATAGTTATGTATTCTTATGGCATTTGCTAGCCGCTTCAGCCGCCTGATGCCAGCTTGAACGGCATCAAGTTCCAATTGTCCAGCTTTGCGTCATTGTGTCTTGATAAGCGCACATATATGTCACATACGATCGAGCTGTGGGAACTTTCGTACCAGAAAGCAAGCAAAATTTTTACTAATTTGATCCAACTTGTACTACAAGACTTGTACCATACCATACCAGTGCTCTGGTAGGTGATTTCCTGCTGCCCTTCACATTAAGGAGCGTCGCGCCTATGCCGCGTCCTTGCGCTTCAACGACTCACACCCAGAGCCAATCCGACGCTTCATCAGCGATGTGGTTAGGGAGGCCTCGTGTGACACCAAACATTTAAAGAGCGAAGATCCGAATACTGGAAGAAATATATATATATATATAAAGGGCTTGCGAGCCCTGTTTAATTATTTGCTCTCTTGCAGTATTGTAGAATCAATTGTGTAGTCATTCATATGCCGCTGCTCAATTAGCACAATTTAAATACTGACTGTATGTGTAGTCGAACTTCAGCAGTGTGAGATACTTGCTCTGAGTTCACAAGATTCATAATGTCTTTAGGCTATCCACACACACAAATCCGATAAGACTTGGGGAATGGTGGGCCCAACAGTACCATCCTGAGCTGTTTTCAGAGTCAGCACTATCACTAGCAAAGAAATAGTCGGACCCTAGGAAGACGTTTGGAGTAAGGGCCCTGATGGGACCAATCTCAAAGTTTGACCCAACAAAAGGAGAAGAAGACCAAGAGGGAGAAGAAGAAGAAGACAACACAGAGAGAAAAGAAGGAGAGGAAGTAAAAAATGGAGAAGGAGAAGAAAGAGCAGAAGAAGTTGAAGAAGAAGAAGAAGAGGAAGAAGAAGAAGAAGAGGAAGGAGAAGGAAGGAAGGGAGGGAGGGAGGAAGGCAGGACGGAAAGATAGTTGGAAAGAAAGAAGGAAAGCAAGAAAGAAAGAACGAAAGACAGAACAAAAGAAACAAATAAGGAAAAAACAACATGAAACAAACAAACACAAAGAACGAACAAATACATAAATACATACAGAAAGAAATACACACACAGAAAAAATAGAAAAGAAACAAACAAAGAAACAAGAAACACAGACACAAACAAGCAAACAAACCAAAATGAACTAACATACAATTAAAGAAAAAACAGACCAGAAAAGAAAACAAACAAACAAAGGAACAAAATAAAGAAAGGCACGAAGAGAAGGAACAAAACCAAAGGAAACAGAAAGGACAAATCAAGACAAGACCAACACAAGACAAGAAGAAAAACATGAACAACTGGGTTCATTGGACGTAGTAGATGGGAAGACAGGACGGCAGGAAGGAAGGAAGGAAAAAAGTTTTCAGTGGACTGCCATATCGGGGTGAACTTGTATTTTCCAAGTCAGGAGTTGCAGTAATTTGATGTTCTTTGTCCGCGCAGGCTTCCCTTCCTGAACCATGGGCAGTTGCTTGGCATGCTGTCGGGGCAACGGGAGTGTACGAGCGGGATCTCTGTCATGTTTGGTTTGCGCAGTCATTTCTGTAAATTCTGTAAAATCACAGCAACAAATTCATATTTTTGGTTCGTTCCTCGATTGACCGCAGCACAACCACTTGAGGCAGCCAGAGATGGTCCACGTTGGTATTTTCACAATCAGGCCATTTGCATGCGAGATGCCAGTGGTTTTGTGCATTCCTTAACCATTCAGCCACTTGATAGTGATTTTTTTTGTTGGTATTTCAGGATTTGAGGAAAGTCTAATTAAACTCTGATTTACTATGGTTCATTGTTCTGTAGCCTTTCTGCCTAACTAGGGACAACTCCAAGAAGGTGCTTTGCAAAAGCAGCATGCCTGTACAGGCGCTGCCTCCAAATGCTTTATCTTACTTGCCTGACAAACCGCCAGAGGTCACTGGAGACGCTCAATGGCAACATCCTTTGCGTCCCGTATTCAAGGCATGTATAGAGGGGCCAAGACCTTTGTCTCAGTACTTGGCAGTCACAGTCGAACTCTTTGTCTTACCCAAAGAAACTTGCCAGATTGACTTCCAGAATTCGGTGCTAAAACTTGCAGGAACTTACCACAATCTGCTCAGAGGTCATAGCCATGAGCCCGAAGGAGAAGATTAAATCCCGCACAATGCATTGCATGCAGTTCCGACAGTGAAAGGGATCAACGAAAAAAAAGCTAGGCAATGCTGTTGGAACCATTAGTAACAAAGGGCATCGCTACTAGGAGCAAAGGGCATCGCTACTAGGAGCGACTACCTTCACCAAGGAAAAAAGACAAGGAAATACAAACACACTCACACTGTCTTGGGTGCGTGTCAACGCTCCTGGGATCCACGTTAACTTTGCTGCTCCGCAGCTTATACAGTGAACCGTCTTCACGCGATTGTCATTGCGTCTTTGTGCTTTGTGAGCCACTGCCACCTCTGAATTGAGTTGCTTGGTGAGCTCTGCTTCGGTTTCGATACTTCCCAAATTAGGTTGGTTTGATGGAGGACCTTTTCAAGAAGAGTACACACGTCAGTTTGTCACCCATCAACCGTATTTGCTTCTTCCCTCTTTGGCGGCCAAGTGCTTGGTGAGGAAGTTTGCATAGTCGAGACCAAGTACTGTCAGCTAAACTAACTATATATATATACTTTTAGCAGCATGCTAATTACTTGTCAATCTTCCAAACCGAAGGCAAGACTCCGGAAAAGTACACATACAACTACTGCAAGGAGCGCTCCAAGCACCTCAACAAGCTTCACGCTCAGTGGACCGAGACAACCAAGCAGGCGAGGTCAGTTTGGCTAAGCCTGGACTCAAGGTGCTGTAAGCGGATTCGCATGTACGTTTTTTGTTTGATTTCTCAGGTTTTGGTCACTAGCGGACTCTGCACAAGTTCAGGCTTTGAGACACGGAGGTATATAAAGTTAAACGGGGAGGTTTTCAACTAGTAAACCCAATCGCTGTTCAGAAAGCTGTTCATCTCTTTTCTTGCAAGATCAGTGTAGGATCTGAGTCAGTGGCAGGAGTTTGTGAAGGACAGCGGCGCATGCAGGGAAGTGCGTTGCTTTTTAATCATGTTGCAAGAAAGGACAGCTTGCCATTCAAAGAAACGGAGCGAGGCCAACTTCTCGCTGTTGGAGCCGACAGTTTTTGGACCTGTCTGGGTTGCATCAACCAGGACGGGAAGCACCAGTACTTCTACAACACGGTCACTCGGGAGCCTTCTCACTACCATCCAAACACTACGGCAGGGTCGCCCAAAACGAAGGTTAAGCTGGATTCGTCACTCCGTCATGACTACCTTGGGACTCCTTTGTGTACTGTAGCAGCTGAGAACGGATTCATCACTCACACAATAAATACAATTCTAATTCAACTTAAATTGAATTCTAATTATTGTTACTAATAGCTTCTTGCTCCTAGTAGTAAGGCCAGAAGCCCCTTAGTAGCGTCCTTGCTCCTAGTAGCGATGCCAGGAGCCCCTAGTAGCGTCCTTGCTCCTACCTTTAGTATGTAATGATCCATTGTAAGCGCACTGTAGACATGAAACCTTCGTTACCTGACCTGTGAGAGTTTCTCCAAGGTGTTGCCCGCTCACAGCTGCAGACTCCAGGGGTTGGTGCTTGGTCAAGCATTTAATTTCAGTGGTTGAACATTGCCACCGCAAATTCACCAACCTTTCAGACCACAAGCATTTGGCTGAAACCTGTGGGAGCGGGAATGCAGATGCAAACCCTGAAGCTGTCTTGCAGTTGGAAGATTACAACACAACACTCGGGAATGTGTGACTTGTTTGAAGGTGGAAAAGGATGCCTTTTCAAAAGGAAGGGATCCTTTTCCCTGTTAATTACTCACTCTGTTACCTTTGTATTCTCCTGCATCCCCACTCCAAGGCATTGCTGGACAGCCCAGGCTATCTTGACCGCTTGCAGCAGCCGGCAGTCGATTGACTCATTGTTTGAGTTTGAAGACTCCCCATGAACTACCCATAGTCTTCAATAGGAACAAGGACGCTAGTAGGAACAAAGGGCATCGCTACTAGGAACAAGGACGCTACTAGGGGCTCCTGGCCATACTACTAGTAACAATGTTGCTATTAAAAACAAGAACGCATTGCTGCGGCTTAGTTTTGTGCCAAGGCTCCCAGTCCAAGTGGGCGAAGGAAGCCACAAGGCGAGGGACGATCCAGATATTCTACTGTAGCTAGTTTAAATGCATTCAACTTTCATTCTTGGTTCCCTTTTTCTTTTTCCACAATACAATAGTACTCAGTAGTCTAAAAACTCTATGACACATTGCGTATCTATTTTTTGTGGGGTCAGAAGGCCGTGGGGGATACTAGTAAGTAGTAAGCTAAGCTAACTACATAAGCAAGCTGCTGAGAGCTTGGAAGCTACTACTGTACATGGATCAGGGTGCCAAAGGGCTCGTGTTCCTCACGGACGCTTCTCGCGCTGGTGAGGGGAGAAGCTTTCTTGAGGTTGAAACGGTTCGTTTGTCAGTTGTCAGTGACTCCAAAGGAATGCTTGGGGGAAGCTACTAGTAGCGTCCTTCCTCCCAGTAGCGATGCCCTTTTCTCGTAGTAGCTTCTTGTTACTACTCTTTTCAGGAAATTCAGCATTCCTTAAAAGTTTCGCACAAGACTCGGAGAACATGCCTGCCCCAGGCTCAGCAGTCCGCGTCCGTACCGCCCGAGCCATTGATAGGTGTCGCTGTTATTTCTTTGCATCTCATTTAAACATGCAAACAGGCTTCAAACTTCAAAGTGTTTTGTTTGAGTCTATAAATTCTTTGTTTAGTGCAGAGTGCAGAGGCAAAGAGCGGAAGCATAGCTTCGTTTGAGAGCTTTCCCATTCCAGTTTCCCAGTGCAGGCTCATCCTGGACAGTGAACAATCCAGTGCCGAAAGCAGCACTTCTGAAGCAGGACGAAAAGGCATCTGCTGGCTCGCATGTCAGAAGGTGAGATGAGTAAAATATGTTTTGGTTCAGTATTAAACTGCAATTTGCAATGCTGCACCTAGATGATACATCAATACCAGAATGAACAACGTTGGCCACCAATAGCTTCCTCCAAGAGATTACTTTTGCCTGTTTGCCTTTCCAGCAGTTTGCAATAGGGACTGTCGACTGTCAAGTGCTGTAGGCATGCTTCCACAAGGGCGGCACCTACTCTCGGAGGCTTGGTGCCTATGTTATGGAGCTCCATCAAAGCCGGAAGATTAGATTTACACGTTGGTCTTTGGCTATGAATGCACACCTGATACCAGCACAAAAATGATAGGGAATGTCGTTCCAATGTTTGCATTTTGTGCATCCCGTGTAATTCGTGCAGAAAGAAGCTAGACCTGAAGGACCCAATTTGAGGCGTGTCCTTACAACGCGTGAGTCCTGCGCCTTTGGTTCAAATGCCAACAACCAACTGCTGCCCACATTTCTCATGCTTGATCGAAGCAAGACAAGTCACGAGGGTGGATGCTGGCTTGCAAGTCAGTGGCCACGAGCATCATGTATCCCCCACCAACCCCACCAAGCACGACCCGACCAAGCCATACCAAACCCATGCAGCCTGTTTCAAGTTTTGAAGGGATTGCAACCTACTGTATCTTTCCCACAGCTCCAAAGCTGGCAAGGCTGCAAAGCGGAAGACCATGGCGGGCGGAGGAATGCCATGCCGATCAAACGGGTTTACACATGGATGTGGATGATAGATATCTGTCTAGAATCTAGAAGGCTCACATCAAGGCTTTTTGTTGTCGGGGAGGAACAAATCATTTTGACCATCCCTCATGATGATGAAGATAATTATGTGAAGGTACATTGCTTGTACATGTGGTTTGAATGGAAGAACTGGGTTTGATGGACTCCTTTCTGAACTATTTGATGGGAAAAGATCATATGCCCTTGAGAAGCTTTATAGAGTGTTCCTGTAAAAGGACAGCATGCGGGTTGCCTTGCCATGCGCCGTGTGCTGTGAGGTTTACAGGTTCACCGCTGGATGAAGGCGGACCGTTACGCTCAGTCTTGCTTGGGACTACAGCTCCAGGCAAAGTTGGGAGTTCCAGCAACAATGCGCAATTTCTTTCCAGAAGAGAAGTTTCACCTGACCCGTGTCCCTGTTGAACGACCTTTGAACACAGTGAAGACATATATCGTGAGCGTTCCCGACTGACAAGCAATGTTACAGGACGCCATAGACCAAGAAGTCTTGGAGATCCTTCGGCCTGTCTTCAATCAGGACTGTTGCATTAGATTGACAGCCATCCCTTTTGGGGGTTTCAGGGCCAATGCTGCACATCATTTGATCCCAATCCAATGCTCGCGTTGAACTTGAGGCTGTCACTTCTCCAAGGGCTTGCTTGGATCTAGTTTGCCTTTGGCATTGCGGCCTTGCGCAGTGCTGGCAATTTGGTCTAACGATGTGCCTTCAGCAGGCCAAAAGCTGGCTGGTTTTTGTATTGGTGGCGAAAGGACACGAGCACCCAAACACAAGCTTAAATTTCCCTACTTGGCAGTTCCAGAGAAGGAGGTTCCGGAGCATCCATGATAGCTTTCGACGGTTCCATAGAAGGACGAGGAGGATGTTGCGGGTTCCGGAGCAGGTTCAAGAACTGCTCTTGGGAGGGTTGTGGAGGAGGTTCCAGTACTGTCCCTCGATATTTCTCCAGAGCCTCGATGAAGAATCGTTGGTTGCCACCACCTCTGACTCATAGCGAAAATGCGTCTCAGAAAACTGGGCGGAGAAGGTTGAGTTGTCGATCTCAGGCTGAAGTGATTCTGTGTGTGAGCAGCTGTAGCCCTTGAGAGCCGGTTGCCCCGGTACGAAAACCCCATGCCGACCGTATAGCTATCCAGCTTGGGTGGTGTGTGGGCAGAGGATCATGATCAGCAAGGCTGAAGTGATTCAATCTTCTTCTTTGGGCTTCTTTTGAGTGCAGCAGCCTTCCTGCTTCTTGGGAGCTGTGGCTTCAGATCCGGTTTGACCGCACTGTGCTGGAATACTGAAGCCAATTATCCGGTTGAGTTTCTTCATCCTACACAGGGGTGACAAGCCGCATGATGCACGCTCAAAGCTCAACAAATTTGATGAACCTTTTCCAACACGGCACAGGTGAACCTAAGAATTCCCAAGCTTAACTGGCGGAACAACATTTTACCAAGCTGACAGCATGATACGCCGTATTTATCACGAAAGCTAGCGAAGCTAGCTGGAGTTACTCTTGCGATAGCAAGGTTTCTTTCGACCGGGTGCAAATCCTAACCCCTGATTATTCAGGTCGAAGACCCCCCCCCCCCCCCCCCCCCCCCCCCCCCCCCCCCCCCCCCCCCCCCTCCCCCCCCCCCCCCCCCCCCCCCCCCCCCCCCCCCCCCCCCCCCCCC